GACCTTCTATCGAGTAGAACGATTCTGTTCTTCATACATTGTCTTTAAACTATCCAATGTCATTGGCAAGTTCGATCTGATCAAACTGTCTTTGTATCGGATTGTCTAGGGAGGCAATGATATAGCACCGGGCTAGGGAGTCTTTCTCCTCCCATTCTTGATAGTCCCTTCTTTGGGCCACAGAAGCCTTATCACCTAAACGCTCCGAGGCAGGATTTTTAGCCACCTTGTCCAACTTCTCAGAAGTCAGGACCAGCATAAGGTTTCAGTACCAGTCAACATAGTTTGGGCCCTTAAGCTTATTGTCGTCCAACAGCTTTGCAAATTGTCCGTTTGTCATTTCTGATAAAAAGCAAACATCAGTCCATAACCTAATTTGATTCATGTTATCTACATAGATATGGCTTTTAATCTATGTTATATTCCCATTTATTCATCTCCGAGATTTCCCTCCTATCTCAATGACGGAGACAGTGACTTATGTCTCTGGAAATGTGAGAAATCACATAGGGTACATGGAGCCAACTGTTTCAGCTGCATAACCCCACCACCTTTCTGTGAAGGATCATATCCACTCATCATATGAGTTTTTCCTTTTAGGTTAAACCTTTCTGATGAAAACGAAAAATATCATATTTTTCTCCTTTAATAATTAGCCTTTTATGTTTATTTTGTGCCCAAATGCACTCATAATTCTTATATTTTGGTTTAAGGCACGAAAGGAGGCGTTAAGTGAGAAACAAGGTTAATCGGGTCATTTTACACAATTTCGACGTCGTGTGGTAGATTGAGCATAACTCTCTCATCCGGTCTTCGATTGAGATAATTCAAGATGAGTTTGAAAGATAAGGAAAAATTCTACAACTTTCCTATTTTGAGTTTTGATAGATTCGGACTGCATCGATGTCAAAATTGAGCCCAAATTCTCTGCAACTGCATTGGTGACGTATTGAAGACATTCCTTAGCTTTGAAACTTTCATCCACGATTTCACCACTCTCCCACTCACACAAGAACTTTGTTTTATCTTATTTTTGAGTCTTTTCTGAATAAGTCAGACTTGTAGATGAAACTAAAGGAATTTTAGGAGATTTTGTAGGCTTCTCTTGGGGTAAATAGATAAGAGAAAAAAAACCTAAAGAAAAGGAAAGCAGATTGGGAGCAACCGAATCCCTCTTCTCTTCTTTTCTCTTCTCTCCGCCCCTCTTCTTCATTCTCTGATTTTCTTGGAGTTTTCACCATGACCATGCGTGGCTAAACTCTTGTACTTGGTCGAAGGAAGCAGAAACCTCAAAATCCACCAAACTATGAGATCTAATTTGGTTTTTATTGTTTAATTCATGTTTTGGATATCAAATGTTCTTCTATGTTTATATCTATGATTGTTTCGTTTGATTGCTAGAAAGGCCTACTAGTTTATTATTTGTTACAATCTATTGCTAAATTAGATATCAAATCCGTAATTGTTTGGTCCCTCTAATTTGTGAAGCAACTAGGGTTTAATGATTTGTTATGTCAGAAATTGTTAGATCCTAGGAATGACACTCGACTGAATTAAATGCAACTGCTTGTACTTGTGTTGTTTAGCTTCATCGATCTCTAATGCTTAATGCTATTGATGAATTAAATCTTTAACACTTGTTTAGGGGTTGTTTAGTAGTAAGGGTTAAGAGGATCGTTTGTTTTCCGATTAACTGATATTAGAAAGATGCAGGAAAATAATTCCTACGATGAATATTCTAAGTCTAGATTGATTTATTCTTGCATCGATGAGCAGTAGTGAAATTCTGGTGGTGGATGTTATCCTAGACCAAGATTCGTTCTTTTGGTTAATTACAACACTATAAATTGCCTTGCTTCCCATTTAAATTTTGTTCTCTTTAATTATGATTTTCTTTCTTTTAAATCTGGTTTTCGTTACACACCCCCCCTCCATCTTTGATTCACATAGCACATAATTCAGGTTAGATACTCTCTATGGGAACGATCCTTACTCACACTACTACATTTTATTCTCACGGGTATAAGTTTTATTTTTTGGTGCCTACGACAGCATACCACTTTCTGTCCAGTGAGTGTTCACCCATCATATTCGTGACGCAAAGGTACCGTGAGAGAGTCTTCCATTTTCTGGTAAGCCCCTCCCACATCGGTCTATGACGCCCCTATCATCTTATGAAACATTCCAACAGATCCAGCAGCAAATGGATAGCCCAATTTTATGTGTTTCTTCATTACTGAATGACCCATTTTCATGCTAATGATGGAAAGCCTTTACAGAATTCATCATATGAATCTCCCTATCACATGCACTCATATTGTATGAGGGAACAAAGTTACGCCCTATTTTAATTTAGGTCAAACCAAAGTGGCTCCCACTGACTTTCATAAAGCTATATTTCTGGGGGGCCCTAAACGGCTAGGGTTCCGCACGAATCCTTTTCAGGGGTGTGGAGACCAACCATTGAGGGAGGTCATCCAATGACCCATAGGGACACCAAGGCAATGATGTGCATTTAGCCATGGTGTGCGCAAGAGCCACTATCGTATTTGCATGGGCCAAGTACTTATGGCCCATGTACGTTGCACATCACACATCCATACATCACATGCAGGGATAAAATTGATCCAATCAATTAATATCTGTAAAGCCCATTATTAAAGCCCATTTTAATCCATAATATTACTAATTAATATTATCTAGGTGTATGAGCCGAATAGGGTTAAGCAGTTCGGCCCATATAGCTCATCTGCAATTAGTGGGCTTTTAGCAGTTTTAACTCTTTAAAACTGGGCCTTACAGGTGTGGGCCGAATTAAATCTTTTAATTAAATATTAATCCCTTGGCCCAAAAGTGGAAAATTAGGGTTGACATCAGTCTCCATCGAACCACAGATTCGGTCCAACCAATTTGGACCAATCTTGTTCGAATGGGTCTAGGGTTTGATTTTTAATTAAAGAATTAATTCAAGAAATGATCTGAAATTAAATTTACTGATCAAAGACAATCAAAAATCAGTAACAGGGTTGTTCACACATCTCAAACCTACAAAACATATATTAGATCACAGTTTGCAGTTTCATAAACTGTAAATCGCAGATAGCGATTTCTCTTTCTGCGAATTCTCCTTCTCCAGCGCATCCAGCTTCGATCTTGGAATAAAATAAAATAGAAAAAACCCTAATTTTCTATTAATATTACATCAGATCGAATACCTATACATTTAGTCTAAAAAATAATTACAGACCAGAATGTAAAAATCTGCAAATCGCAGATATCCTGCGCCAATAAAGATTTCGATATCCTTTCTACGAACAACCCATAAATCAAGAAAATCATATAGAACAATTCTAAATATATTCCAGATTTATAAAATTTAATTTCAGATCATTCGCCCTTTAACTAGGAACCGATTTCCCAGAAAAACCCTAATCTGCACAAATGGGCAGAAGGCGTTCTGCGTTCTGCCCATTTGCGCAGGTTCAGATCTGATTTATTTTGGTTCAAGATTTGAACCTGACTCTGATACCACTGAAGGGATGAGAGATCCATCATATGGATGGTCGAACCTTGCAGGAAGGTAGGGTGAAATTTCAAAAATTTCTCTCCCATCTAGGAATCACATTCCTTGTTTTAGAAAATTTGCATTTTCAATGATCAATCTTGAACCAAGAACCGAACTAGATCTGAAACCAAAAGGTAGGAGAGAGTGATACCTGATACGAAGTAACAATATCCTCCAATGATGGTGTTCACGCCCAAAGAAAATCTTCAAAGACTGCTCCCACTGAAGATGACACAATGTAGGGTGAAGCACAATCAGCAGTGTTCTTCCGAAGAACCGAACCCTTCAGCAAGGATTCGATGGAGGCTGTGAGCACGACTTTAGATCAGCCTTTCTCCAAATGCTGATATCAAGAACTATTCTTGATCGCTCCTACAAAACTGGAGATCGAATTGGCAGTAGGCGGCAATTGGAGGAAAACGTAGGGAGAAGATGGCGCAGTCACACTGTTGCTGTCTTCTCTCTCTATGATCTGAGATCTAATCTCTGGGGATGAGATGTTTTTGGATGATCTGAATGGTTCGCCCCCTCCTCCTTTTATAGACTTAAAGAGATCAGCTCCTAATCCCATTAGGAGTTTCCTTATTCAAATCCTTATTTGAATCTGGACTCTCTTTAAGTGATAAGGATAAGTCATTATCTTATCTGCATATTAGATCAACTCTCTCATAATCTCATTAGGAGGTTTCCAAATCCAAATCTCTATTTGGATCTAGACTTTCTAAGTGGATAGGGTAAAACCCTATCCTATCTGTTGATCTCAATCCCAGATCCGCCCCTCTTTAATTAGTCTAACTAAACCAGTTCGAAATGGGTTTTAGGCCCAATAAGTCTCATGTGCTCAGTGGCTTTCCAAACTGCTGCCCAGTTGGGCTTCTTTGTATGGCGTGGGACCCAAACATTGATCTACACATCAGCCACAAGGGTTCAGCCCAGCCTCTGTTACAAGGCTTGGCCGAATACACTGTTGTGGACAATGAACCCCCTGAGCCCATCACATGGGATCTTAATGGACCCAACACTTACACTAAGTAGTCCCTAGGCCAAACCACCTTATAAAAACTAACACAAACACTAAGTGGTCCCCAGACTTATCCAACGGCTGTGAACATTCTAAACTAACATGAGTCTCATAAATGTTTAGTTTAAGGGTATTACACAGAAACACACCACAATAACATGAATCAAATATGTACTTTATTCATTTACAATAAATGCCATAAGGTACATCATTCTGATTGGAGCTAAGGGCATACACTGTCTAACAAATCTTATAGAGCATTAATAGTGGCATCTCTTCACAACCACATGGTACCTAGAATTTCTTCTTGAACCAAAACAAAGCAATTCCACTCTCGAAGTTAGGCTCGAATTTAGGGATATCCTCTGATTGAGACAAATTTCAACTCCCCTAACAAGTCACTACAAACTACATCACAACGATCATGGTTGTTGCCCAAGTACAGCATAATGATATCATGACCAATGATGCATGTGAAGTCTATAGGTACATCGTCTCCACCAATACTCTGCACACAAGCATAATTACCATAAGACAATAAATCACCAAAACAATACAAGTCATAAACACACATCTATATGAAGTAAGCATTACCTCCGTGGTGGCCCTAACTAGCAATTTTTGCCTCCTTACCTACACTCCCACCAGTTTACTCACATGCCTTATTGATGGCTTCCCCCTCATTATGTACAACTGCAGCATTATCTTCGCAATCATTATTTCTTGTCTAAACAACATTCACATCCTCCACACTATCCTCGGAGAACAGTCTCAACACCCTCATTATGTACAATGACAACCTCAATCATGGAAGAATCCTCTACTCCTATGATTTCTACACCCTCCATACTTACATCAGAGGAGGGTTCAATATTTACAGATTCTACAATAGGGGCAACTCCTTCCCCATCAGTAATTGTTCATTCTACAACCGTAGACCCTATTGGTGTTGTAAAATTACTCCCCTCAATATCAAAGACAACGAAGTAGTGTCCTTTGTGTCAACTTCTTTAGCAATGTCATCATTAACTTTGGTCCTAGTCGTGGACACTGCTGATGTTGGGACCCTCCCCTTTACCAATGTAGTAGTTTGTCCTACTCCCAATCCCTTGATATTCAGCTCCTCTACATCCTGGTCCCCTCAATTGGAATGACTAAAAATCCAGTTTTTAATGGAAGAACAAAGCACATTGAGCTAAGACACCATTTCATTAGAGAGTCAACTGAGAAATGAGAGATTGAATTGAAGTTCATCAAGACTGAAGATCACTAATATCTTCATCAAGCCTCTAGCTTCTGAAAAAAAAAATTGCATATTAGATCTCTAATGAAAATTACAAATTAAGAAGGGGTGTTGAAAAGTAAGGGTGCTAATTTTGTAATTTTCTTTTATATTTTGTCTTTTGTATTAAGTAGGTTATCTTGGGATTTGGAAGCTGAAAAGTCTCTACCGTAAAAGTAATACCCTTTTATATTTCTTGTAATCTCGAATATTTTGTTGTGGAGCTCAAGAAGCTAAGAATGAAGTAAACCCAGAATTCTACGTGGGCTTTTCATCTTCTTCTCTTATTCTCCTCATTCTATATTCCTCTTCTCATCTACAGATTTTTGGGTTCTTCCTTTGATTTTTACCACCACACTTCTGTTGCTCCAACAAACTTTTGGTATCAGAGCAAAGATCCATTTAACCATTCAAATCTAAAACTAAAACTTTTCATGGAATCAAATTCCAGTAGCTCTGTTTTAGATCCTTTTCAAAAATTTCCACTTCCTATTTTTTATGGAGAAACTATGACTATTGGAGCATACAAATGAAAACATTTTTCATCTCCAAGGAGATTTGGGAGTTGGTAGAAGAAAGATATGAAGAACTTGAAAATCATGAGCAACTTACAACATGGACTGAAGACAAGAAGAAGTACAAAGAAAATACGAAAGATGACGCTAGATCCCTGTACCATATTCAGCAAGCAGTAAGTAAAACAATCTTTCCAAGAATCATGGCTGCCAAAAGCTCAAAAGAAGCATGGGATATTCTCAAGAAAGTGTTTTAGGGCACTAAAAAAGTAATATCCATAAAACTTCAATTTCTTTGGAGAGATTTTGATAATATTATGATAAAAGAAAGTGAATCTGTTCAAGAGTTCTTTTCTAGAGTTGTTGGTATTGTAAATCAAATCAGGACATATGGAAATGTTATCTCAGATGAAAAAATTGTAAAAAAGGTTTTGAGGAGTTTACCAGTTAAATTTGATCATGTGGTGGCTGCCATTGAAGAAGCCAAAGATTTGACTAAACTATCCATGCATGAGTTAATGAGCTCACTTGAAACTAATGAGGATAGAATGAAAAAATTTTCATCTTGTTCATTAGAGCAAGCTTTTCAGTCCAAACTCACCATTGTAAAAAAAAAAAAAAAAAAAAAAAAAAAAAAGAATGATGGTGAAAAAGAAACTCCAAGAGAATGGTCACATCAAGGCAAAGGAAGAGGATACCAAAATAATGGAAGAGGACGAGGAAGAGGAAGAGGTGAAAAGCAAAACAATGGTTGTTTTATTTGCAAGAAAGACAACCATTTTCCCCAAAACCATTTTTTAGATGTAAAAAATGCAAAAATCATGTTCATGCCCCAAAACAACCCACCCATCAAATTTCATGACCTAATTCCTCCATTTGACCATTAAACAAGCAAGATCCATTTTAAGCCTCCATATTGGTTGATAAGCCATAAGATAAAACCTTGGCTTGAACTAAATCTTTCAATCCACATTTTATCAAAGATCCGACTTATCCATCAAATTTAGAACATTCAAAAACACCTATCCACCAAATTTGATCCCAAAATTCCCTCGTTTGACCTACCATCAAGTTAAGATTCTGTTTTAGCAAATCTCATCGATTAAAGCATGTCAAAACGTAGATCTCTATCATCCAAGATTTATTTAACCAATCACACCTTACCACCATCTTTAGAGACCGAAAAAAACCAATACATCAAATTTCATTGAAATCTCGATTTAATTGATTAAACCCTCAAAAATCCTCTAAAAAGCATAGATCAAGATTCTTATAAGCTTTTCTGAAACCCTAGACACATGGTGGACGAGTTTCAGACCTGCCCCAACCTTCCCTCTCTATAAATAGGGTAGAAATTGAGCTCTACAGGCAATTTTTTCAAAGAGAAGAAATGAAAGAAAGAACCCCCATTTTAATCCCCAACCATTTTTAGTAAGAACTTGAGAAAAATTCTAAATCTGGGGTTAGAACTTTCCAAAACCACCCAATTTCTCCGTGCATTCACGTTCTAACCTTCAAGAAAAGAAAAAACCCTCTCAAATTTCACTCTCTTGCATCAAGAAACAATTGCAAGTCATTCTCTTGAAGTTTTTGAAGTTGTAAGCCTAAAAAACTCCCATATTGGACTGTCATTTATATCTTGGAGAGAGGGATGCCTAACACTTTCCCTCTCCCAATCCGAATGAATTTGGAATCTCTTGGTTGAATGCCTCATAGGTGGAGAATTGGAGTCACTATTTTTCAAAATAAAATCAATTTTCTAGACTTCATAGAGGATTCATTTCCTCTTAAATTAAATGGGTGGTGACTCCTTGTTTTGAGCCAACCATGAGCTTTCCATAACTCACATCTATGAAACCATCATTCTCAAGACTTCGATATGGATTTGGGAATGAAATTGAAAAGACAAATGACAATTTAGTTCACTTATTTTCATTTTATCTCTACCCAACCTTGAACTATTCTAAAAGTATAATTGAAGTATTTAATATAAAATAATGTTGTGGAAAGAAGAAAAGAAGAAAATGACAAAGATCAAAAAAGTATCTGTGGGTTGATGTGCAGATTTTCATTCCTACATAGAACTATGTTGCATTGACACTTCAAAATGGGTGTTGAAGTAAGGAACCTCAAACACTAGGACTAAAATTTGGACACGAATGGTAAACTTGCAATTTTTGATAGTTTACCAATCTTTATTGCTTAGTGTGGTCTGCAATGATTTATGCTCTTTCGATAATTGGCCCATTATTGATGCAATATAAAAGATGTAACTTAAAGCTACAGTATAGTATTTGTCCTTGAATCCCATTTTTCATGCTTGCAGATGCCAACACCTTGTACTCAATCATATTCTGGAACTTGTACCGATATCCATGTAACATAGGAATGAAACACACTGTTTAGCAGCATGGCATACAGTGCCTAATTCATGTTTTCCAAATCTTAATTCATTTATTTTTTTCAGTTAAAAAAAAAAAAAAAAAAAAAAAAACTATCTAGTAGTAGTAGAAAACTCCTATTCATAATTGTCAAGGTGACACCTAGGAAACAAGGTGCCTCTTGAATGCTCACCTTGCCTAATTGCCAAGCAGTTTTGTACATTGTGTTACAAAATACTTTTATATACTTAATTTTTTGAGACTATAATTATAAAATAGACATTATTAAACTAAATTATTCATTTTGTGTGTTTATATACTAATTTCTTTTTATAATTTTCTTATTTGTTATGGTTTAATCAACATAAACATTGGATCTAGAGGTGAATCTGAGCATCAATGAGAAATATAATGAGCAACATTCCATATAGAGGCAAATCTAACATCAACTGATGGCATACCTGCAGTTAAATGCACGAGGTAAATGTTTTTAGAGGAACTCCAGGATTTTGTTTCTGTGTTGTTTACTCATTTATATTACTCAAAAGCCTAACTGCAAAAAAACTGCCAGAAAAAGGGAAAAAATGTCTTCAATGAATGTAAAAGACAACCCTAAATATACTAAATTGAGTGATGGAATCTACAGTGAACATAAATATAATGAAGGAAACTTCAAGTAAGGAATCATAATTTGAAAGTAAGATACGGAAGGATCACCTGCAGTTAGGCTCTCAGAGTAACTGAATCACTCCCTTTTTTCTGTGTATAACATTCAAAATTCAGAAATTGCCCCATTTAATATAGCAGATATGGGACTTAATTCTCTCATCTCTCCATATCAAGTTGTTCCACCATGAGAGTTCTCCTCTGATCTCAACTGGAGTTCTTATCTCAGTTACAACAAGTGGAAGTTCCTTTAGCTCTGGACATTCTCTCACTTTAAGATCGTGCAGAGACGGCAAGAAGCCATCATATATAGTTTTCAACAGAGGTAGTTCCCAGAGGAATAGTCTCTGTAACTTTGGAAGTCCTCTACCAAATAGTATCTGTCCAAATATATTTTCTATCTTATCACAAAATTTAATTACAAGTATTTCAAGGTTTTCTAGCCCCAATGTTGATGAGAAGACATTGACAAGACGTGGACAACATTCCAAATGTAAACATCTCAAGCATGAGAAGTTCCCTGGGCATATGTTTCCTTCACATATATGCCTTAGATTTGCAACATTAGAGACCCATAGTTTCTCTAAGCTGCTTAAATCCACATCTTCTTCTACAGCCTCTTGTCCTCCATCAATGCAGTCCATCCTATGGCATTTCTCTATCCAACATTCTTTCAGTAACCTGGTTCTTTGAGCACCCAAATCTAGTAATCGTGTAATGAAACTGCAGTTCTTTAGTGAGAGGAGTTCTGTGTGAATAAGTATCATCTCAATGCCACTGGGAAAGTAATGAACATCAATGAGCTCCAAAGATCGAGGATAAGGAACCTCCAATAATTGGCAATTCTCCGATTTATCAGGAAAGTGTCTATTCCTGAAGTAAAGTTCTCGGAAACAAAACTTCGTTCTTCGGAATGAAAGATCTTTATCTCTATCCCATTCCTTGGTACCACAAATTGAAAAATGGAATTGTGGGAAGTATTGAAACCATTCTTCTAAAAATTTTATAGAGCTAATATTACTTACCAAAATGTCAGGCCATCCAGTTGGTGTGTTGGAAATGTTGTAGTCCCAGTTTACAACTTCAGGTAACCACGTTATTTCTCCCCAGTCAACATCTCCAAGCTCCTCCAGGCACAGTAGATCAAGCTGCTTCAAACAAGTCAATTCTGAGGTTTCATAAGGAAATTTTACAATTTTAGTCCCTGAAAGATCAAGAACCTCCAGTTTGCTAAGTTTTCTCAATGAAGGCAGCCCTACTAATCTGGAACAACATTTCAGCAGTAACTTCTGGAGATTGGTGAGTTCAGATATGGATGGTAAGCTTTCAAGTAATGTATAAGATAGGTTGAGTATTCGAAGTTGATGCAAATTCTGAAAGGATTCCTCTTGTAATTCCATCAAAGCACTATTATGAGAAAGATCAAGCTGCTCAAGTTTGGTAAGTGCTTTTAGATCTGGTACACTTTCAAGTAACGTATATGACAGGTTGAGTATGCGAAGTTGATGCAAATGCTGAAAGGATTGCTTTTGTAATTCCGTCAAAGCACTATTATGAGAAAGATCAAGCTTCTCAAGTTTGGTAAGTTCTTTTAGATCTGGTAAGTTTCTGAGTGGACAACCACTTAATAATAACTCAGTGAGGTTCCTGAGCATAGAAAGTGATGGTAATTTTCCAATTTGACTTCCAGAGAGTTTGAGTATTTGAAGGGAAATCATATGGTCAAAGTACTTTTCATCAATTATCCTCAAAGCTTTAGCACCTGAAAGATCAAGAACTTCTAGTCTTGTAAGTTTTTCTGAAGGTGGAATGGTTGTTAAGCTTGAGCACTTTGTTAAAAAAAGCTGACGGAGGTTCATGAGGTTAAGAAAGGATGGCAACTCTTTAACAAAGCTTTTGGACAGGTAGAGTATTTGTAGGTTGGGCATAAACCAAAATGACTCATCTTGAATCCCATTCGAAATTTTGGTATCTGTAAGATCAAGCAACTCCAGTTTTACAAGTACTCTTGGATGTTGCAATGATTTTAAGCATGTACAACCCCTTAATAAGAGCTGATGGAGCATACTATCATTGTGAAAAAATGGTAACTGTTGAATTGAAGTTCCAGAGAAGTTGAGAACTTTAAGGTTAGGCAAACAATCAAGGGTTGGAACTTCACTCAAAGTGCTAGCATCTGAAACATCAAGCACCTCAAGCTTCTCAAGTGCCTTGATCTGTGGAAATTGTCTTAGCCTTGAACAATTTGCAAGCAAAAGCTGGTAGAGGTTCTTGAGATTGCAAAGTTCTGGTAAGAATTCAATTGCAGTTCCAGACAGGTTGAGAACTTGAAGGTGACTCATATAATTAAAAGAGTTATCATTGCCAACTTCTTTTATACTTGCAGCATCTGAAAGATCAAAGACCTTGAGTTTCCTAAGAGCTTCAAGACTGGGAAGCTTTTCCAAGTACAAACAACCTTTTAGAAAGAGCTGACGGAGGCCAGTGAGGTTAGAAAGCGATGGTGGGAGCTGTTTGAGAGAGGTTTCTGAAAGATCAAGGACTTGAAGATAATGCATATCGTCAAAGAATCCATCTGGAATTTCCTTCAAGGCCTTGCAACCTGAAAAGTCAAGCACCACTAATTTTCTAAGTCCTTGGATAGTGCTTACATCCTTAAGAGAATCACATTTCCTTAGTAGAAGCACATGAAGTTGCTCCAAGCCAGAAAGGGATGAAGGAAGCAATTTAGTCTTCACCTGGAGAAGGGCCAAAAATTGAAGCCTTTGCATGTGCAGAAAGAATGCCTTGGGGATTTCCCTCAACAGGCCATTTCTATCTCCTTCAAGAAGCAATGCACAAGGGTTGTAGATTTTTGACCGACTGTTGTATGCATTAATCACATAATCCATTAATGTGATTTTCTTAAAACTTCTCCAAATGCCATTTTTCAGAGGCTCAGTTAAACCAAAACCAGCTTTAGCAAAAATTTTACAGTGATATTTGTCTATTATGTGTAAGGCCATTTTTCTTATAAGATAATGCATGCTAACATGGTCATCCCTTTGTTGAATCATACCACGATCTATAAGCTCCCTGAGTACAGCATGACCTTTTTCATAAGTTTCCTCAATCTGACCAAACTCATCAATTAATCCTTCCATTATCCAATAAGTTACCAACTCATTATAATGAATATCACAGACTTCCGAAGTAAGAGTGGCAAAATACAAAAAGCAATTCCTTATAGAATCACTTGGCAACATGTTGTAACCAAATTGAAGCAACTGCAAGTATGAATTGCTGTTTCCTGAATTGACTGCAATATCCAATGCATCCTTCAGTGCTGATGAGTCATTGATGTCTTTCAGTGCTCCTGCTATCACAACAATCACCAGTGGCAAATGCTCACATTTCTCAACAACATGTTGCACAAGTATATTAATGTGTTGAGAAACCTTGATGCATTTCTTTTCATGAAACAATTTTAATGCATCTTCCTCAGATAAAGAATTTAAGTGAAGAGATACATCCCCATCGATGGCTGTTTTAAGACCAGAAGTATTGGAGTCATTTTGTCTATCTATTATATCAACAGAAATATCAGATCTAGTGATCAAAATCTTAGATCCATTTTGCCCATCTGGGTATGGAATCCCCAGTTCATCAAAGAAATTTTGAGAAGACCAATCTATATCATCCAAAATCAGAAAGAATCTCTTCCCCATCAGAGATGCAGAGATCCTTTCCACCATACTTTCCATACTCTCTTCTTCATCATTGTCATAGTCTGCAGAGTCAGTCACGAATGACAACTCCTGGGCAATCTTCCATATCAATCTTAACCCACCACAACCTCTACCAACAGTAATCCAAATGATACTGTCATTGTCAAACAGATTCTCCTTAATGGCACGATGCATTACAGACCTGGCAGTCCATGTCTTCCCCACTCCTTCCTTCCCCCAAAGTGTGATAGTCTTAACATTCACATCTTTTAAATGATTCAGTACCTCTTCTATTTCTTGCTCCCTGGCCATGGTTGACATCTCTTGTTACACAAAAATCAGAACTGTCCAAGAAAGCCGTCCTAGTAATGAGAAAAGGAAATTAGACAATTATAAAATGTCTCTTCAGAACACAACATATCTATTACAGAAAAACCACTATCACTATCACAATTTCTACTACCTTTTCATCCTGGAAAGGATCTATGGAATGGTGACTATAGCCACTCCATTCTTAATATTTTCATTAAATTGTTGAAAAAGTGGATAGCAATATCATAATCTCATATTGAACAAATCATGCAAAATGTGTTAAACAAATAATTAATTAAATAGTATCCATTAAATACTTTAATGGCTGTAAAGATGGTAAGCAAGAATCTAGAGTCTATTATCTATAACAAATTCTGCTCATCTTGAAACCCATAGATAACTCATCATGTAAAAAATAGAGGCAACCTCTTACTCTATTGAATTTGAAATGTTAATCATATTATTCTCCAAATCATGTATGATAAATAAAACAATATTCAGTACTAAGAATAAGCTTACCTGCCAAAATGACAATCAATCTGTTAGAAATAATATTTCTTGCATATATCAAGACCAGAAGTTTCAAAGCACTAACTTCTTGTCATAAACAGTCTAAAACTTGTAACTTTTACAACTACAAACAATACATGTTAGGGTCATACAATACTAAAATACTGGTTTTCTATATACGGAGATCTATCTATCTATCTATCTATATATATATATATATATATATGACAAATAACAGAGTTCCATTAAAATTATAAAAGGATAATTACACCAGCTAGTCCTATAATTGTATAAGTGGCGTCGTAAAATAACTACTTACACCAAAGATTAATCAACACAAGCCTGTACTTTATCCATGCTGCAATTAATACTTGATACTGTTACTGAAACTGTTTTGCCAAATATGAGTCTGGATGCATTCCATGTTCTAATAGTACCTTCAAATCCAACAACTTATATCAAGATGACAAGACAAGGAGGGTAGATCAGATGTCTAAACTTTTATCTCTTAAGCAAAGGCACTTAATGAAAACCATGGTTCACAATATCAATGAGATTTGTCAGCACTTTCCCAAAATCTCATCATTTTGCTAGGGGAGAAACAAAATTTTCCAAGAATCCTTTTTTCCTCAGGCTTCATTTTGTTTGCAAGAAACCACTAGGAAATATGGAATATTCTTGAAAGATTCCATTATCCTGTGTTTGTTCACCAAGACAGGAGTGGATGTTAAGAGAAATCGTGGATGCAACTTCCCAAAAGCCAGGACGTGGGGTCGCATAAAAAATGGTGAAAAGGAAAGTTGAAATAAAATATTTCAGGGCTTCTCAGAGCATAGTAGTCTTCTCCACTTCCTCTGCTGAACATAGCTAAAAGCCTAAAACAATTGACAACTCCAAGCTTCTCACAATTTTCTGCCAAGCCGACTTCTCATGGCTGCCATGGTCCCCGTTGATTATGGCTGTCCTCTGGCAAACATTTCTTTATGATTTTGCATTTCCCTTGCTTGATCTGTAGCAGAAAACCCAGATCTGAAATGTCTTCACCATCTGGGTTCAGTATCTCAGATTTGAGCTTTGTTGTATTTAGTAACATAACCTCTGAGTTTAACTTCTTGTTAATTTCCAGCGCCACTAATGGCTCCATTATAAGTGAGGGTAACTGGAACTGTTCAATGGTGGGCATGGATCTCCATGCAAATCATTTATCTAATGACTCCGTACACCAAATCAGATGAGCAATCAATGTTGTGTTCTATCAAACCTCTTTCAGTTGCATATATAGATTCTTTTGGTGCCAGTTATAGCAACTCTTGAGAAATCAGAAGCAAGGGAAGCAAAAAACGGTGGGAAAGAGAAGCTCATAGCAACTCTTGAAAAATCAGAAGCAGTGGAAGAAAAAAAAATGGGGGGAAAGAGAAACTCATAGAAACCCTTGAAAAATCAGAAACAAGGGAAGCAAAGAACAGTGGGAAAGAGAAGCCAGTCTGTCTTCATATTAAGTTATGTTTAGAGTTACAAGATATAGACTCGTCTCAACTCACACACTGATAACAGAACATGTAACAGCTTTAACAGATTTATTACATCTGTAATTGTATCGAGGCCACTTATCCATTTGTCTTCTTAGTTCTTGCATATGTAACTGTATTGAGGCCACCTGTCCACTTGAAATAGATTAATCTGGAGCAATATCCTGTACTTAATTGTTCTTTTATTTTGTAATTGTTGATGAAGCTGAAATTTATAGAAAAAATGAAAACCTTTGAAGGGATTGCCAAGTTTCTCTTTCTTTTGTATGGATTACATCTTTGGTTTGAACTTTGAGTGTAATTGCTACGTTTGTCAACAGTTTGGATCCAAGGCCATATTTTGTAAATCTTTTAGTTTTGGATTTCTGAAATAATACACCATTTCAGTTTAAGCTTGAGAAAAGAGGTACACTTATTTGCAGTGATGTGTGACCTTCAAGGTCTCTACCATGGTCTTAACTTTTCTGGTAGTTTCTCTTTCTTGCAATGGCTGCAAGAGACATTGGCTTCTGATTAGGGCCATATTGAGTTGGTTAAGACTACTCATTGCCACCCTAATACGTAAGGAAGTTCCTACAAAATTAGGGCTCTTTTCCAACAATTTCATAGTTTTTTGGATCACACATGAAGGGCTTTGAGCAATTGAAGAATAACCAATTACTACCTTTAGACTATACTTTCCAAAATCGAATGAACTGAAGTAGACACATTTTCTCTCAATTATTTTCCCAGAAACCAAACATGGGAACAGAAATATTCCCACCATTTTCCCTTGTATAATTAAACAAAGGAAAATGAAAATTTCACACGTTCTCACCCCATTTTCCAATCCCACCAAAATCTTCCTACAAACCAAACAGGGTGAATATTTCTGCTATATTGCCGGTATGTTAGCAATATTTCAGATTTCATTGATAGACCAAACATTGAAGGTTCCAACCTTTAGAATATTGTTAGAGACTCTATGATATTTCATTAAAATCATCATAATATTTTAAAAATCTTTTCTTAAAAGAACAAATTGTGAATCAATGATTGGATGATTGGCTTACTATTTTGATATAATTCACTTATTAAGCTACTTAATTCAAAATAAAAAGGGCACACAACTAATAAAAGAAGATTCTCAATCTTATAAAAACATATAGTAACAAAAAAGACAAAAGTAAAAAAGGAAAGTAAATGGCATATGTAATGAAAAGAAGATGGCTAAAATACCAAAAGGTAGACAAACAAAGATACCTATTTAACTCTCTTAATATTCTCTTATTTGGTTAATATAATTGTTTGCTATGGTTTTTTATCTTTAAATGTGCAATTATACTTCTAATGATTCCTTAAGGTTTATTAATTATTTTCATGTCTTTAGAAAATTTCCCCGAATTTTTAGATTGTCCAGATATCTAATCGAAATTAGCATAATATCCCAAAAGTTCCCCCATCTTTGTGGTGAAATGCCCATTCATTTTGAAATTGCAAACAGATGCATTCAAATCTGATTACAGCAGCAAAGAAAGAAGAAAAAACAGTGATTACAGCAGAAAAGAAGAAGAAGATGGAGAAGAAGAGAAAAGAGAAGAGAGTTTGATGATCTTCTCTCCTCTCTCACTAATCTTTTTATTTAATCTAACTTAACTGAGGTTAATTAAATCTCTGCCCTTAAGTGGGCGGCCAGCTCATCAATCACTTAAAAGAAATAAAAAAGAAGTTAACAGGCCTATTAACAAATAAAACATAAACAAGACAATATTTAATTACCAACAAGGACTAGGGCCCATCGGCCCAGTCTCCCTACACTCCCCCTCAAGCTAAGCATAGAAATCAATCATGCCCAGCTTGTTTATATAGTGTGTCAATTTTCCTTTTGGAACACCTTTGGTGAAGACATCAGCTAACTGCTCTTCTGAAGTAATGAATGGCAAGAAAACTTCCCTTGAAGCAACTCTTTCCCATATAAAATGTCTATCGACCTCTATGTGCTTAGTTCTGTCATGCTGGACAGGATTATGTGCAACGTTGATAGCTGCCTGGTTGTCACAATAGAGCATCATTGGCTCACAGTCAATACCCAACTTTCCCAAAAGTGACCTCAGCCACTAATTCTGACACTCCATGTACCATTGCCCTGTACTCTTCTTCAGCTGAAGATCTTGCTATTACAAACTACTTCTTACTCCATGAGACAATGTTCCCTGCCACCAAAGCACAGTATCCAGAGGTGGATCTCCTATCATCAATAAATCTAGCTTAGTTTGCATCAGTGTATGCTTCCAACTTCATGTGTCCATGCTTGGAAATCAAGATACCTTTCCCTGGAGTGCCTTTCACATAACACAAAACTCTTTCTGCAGCTACTAAATGTGTATCTCTAAGAGAATGCATAAACTGATTAATGACACTCACTGCATAAGAAATATTTGGTCGAGTCATGCAGAGATAATAACAACTTCCCAAGCAGTCTCTAGAACATTCCCCTATCAGACAATAGTTCACCACCAATAGCAAAAAGCTTGTGATTTAAGTCTATAAGGGTAGAGGTCGATTTAGCACCAAGTTTGCCAGTCTCTACAAGAAGATCAAGAACATAGTTAAGTTAAGAAATGAAGATACAATCCTTAGATTGAGCAACTTCAATTCTCAAGAAATATTTGAGATCCTCCAAATCCTTGATCTCAAACTCAATGTTAAGAAACTTTTTGAGCATAACCACTTCATGGGTGTCATTACTAGTAACCACAATGTTATTAACATAAACAATCAAAAAAGTTACCAAGGAATTACTTCTCTTCACAAATAAAGTATGGTCAAATTGAGTCTATATGTAACCAAAAGAAACAAGGGCAACTTTAAATCTCTCAAACCAAGCTCTAAGAGACTGTTTGAGACCATAAAGGAACTTCTTCAATTTACACACCTTTCCTTGCATTTCCTTCCCATACACTCTTGGAGGTAAAAACATATAAACTTCTTCATGTAGGTCTCCATTCAAAAGGCATTTTTAACATCAAATTGATGAAGAGGCCAATCAAAAGTAACAGCTAGAGATAACAAAACTCAGACTGAAGTCATTTTAGCCACAGGAGAAAAAGTTTCAAGGTAATCAATACCATACATTTGAGTATAGCCTCTAGCAACCAATCGAGCCTTAAACCTCTCAACAGTACCATCAAAATGATACTTGATAGTGAATACCCATTTACAACCCACTGGTTCCTTCCCCTTAAGCAAGTCCACAATATCCCAGGTATGGTTCTTATGCAAAGCACCTAGCTCAGTCATCGTAGCATCCCTCTATTCGGGTTTGGACAAGGCAACTAGTACAAACCTAGGAATCACGTGTGTAGAAATAGGGGCAAGAAAAGAATAATAGGTTAGAGAAAGAGGGTTGTAGGATAGGTGTTTAGAGATACAATGTGTTGTACACTTCTATTTACCTTTGCAAAGGGCAATAGGAAGGTCAAGGTCTGGGAAGGTAGTAGACGGGTCAGAGGAAGACTGACCTGTGACCTCAATAGTGATGGGAGGTGCAAGAGGCTCTGTTGAAGGAGTGGAAACAACTTGCCCATACCTGAGTCTTTATCTTTGGTACCACCTTCGGACAATAGGATGTGAAGGAAACATGGGAGGATGAGTTGGTGGAGGAGGGGAGAAAGAACATGTGAAGTAGACACAGTGGGAGGAGGTGCAATAGAAGTAGAGGACTCAACAAAAGACGCAATAGGAACTAGAAAAGGAATAGCATGGGACATAGCAAACGACTCCTCAAAATACTCCCCCTTAAGAGAAGTACCAAAGAAAGGAATAAACTCAGCAAATGTGACATCTCTATAGACAAAATGAGTGCCACAAATTGGATCAAAACAACAATATCCCTTCTGTGTAGAGGCATATCCTAGGAAGACACACTTGTGTGCCTTAAGCTCAAATTTGTGTCTCTGATGGTTATGAACATGCACATAGCATGTGCACCCAAAAACTCAGAGAGGAATTGAGAAGAGATCCTCATATGGAAAGAGAAGGCTAAAAGGGGTTTTGAAACCCAGAACCCGGGAAGGCATACAGTTAATCAAGTATGTAGTAAGGACAGCATCCCCCCAAAATTTAATAGGAACATGAGATGAAAAAAAAGAGGCTTCTGGCAACTTCAACCACATGGTGGTTCTTCCTTTTCTGCCACTCCATTCTATTGTGGAGTGTAGGAACAAGAACTTTGATGAATAACCCCAAAGGCCTCAAAGTAGGATGAAAGTGTTCCAACTTTAATAAAGAAAAGAAAAGGTGAAGAAAAGGATAAAGGAAAGAAAGAGGAGAAGATAGGAAGAGAAAGAGAAGGGAAAGAGAAGAAAATGAGAAGAAAAGAGGGAAGACTAGCAAGGAGAAATCTAACCCACACCTCCTTACTGTCGACCCAGGTTATATTAGCGTTCTAGTAAAGCTGAAATGACTACAATACCCTTAGGTAAGTTACAATAGACATAAGAGAAAAATAACATGAAAAAGACAATAATGCCCCTATTAACTAATTCTAACAATTCTAACACTCCCCCCTCAAGTTGGAGAATATATATTATAAAATTCCATCTTGTTACAAATATAATCCATCCTTGAGCGACCCACACTTTTAATAAAAATATCATCTACTTGGTCTTTAGGTTTAACATAGGGAGTAACAACCTCTCCACTTGTCACTCTCTCACACAAAATGCTAATCAATTTCAATGTGTTTAGTCCTTTCATGAAACACTAGATTGGAGGAAATATGTGTTGCAGCTCGTTTGTCACAAAACAATTTAATGGGTTGACAAATTGTGATATTCATCTCCTGAAGAAGATGCTTCAACCAAACTAGCTCATAGGTAGCAAGGGCCATTGCCCTGTATTCAGCTTTAGCACTACTCCTAGTAACCACACTCTGCTTCTTGTTCTTCCAAGTAACAAGATTTCCGCACAAAAAGGTATAATAACTTGTAGTAAACTTCCTATTCATTGGAGACCCTACCCAATCTGCATCTGAGTACCCAGCTAAAAACACATCTCCCCCTTCCTTATACAAAATCCCTCAACAAGGAGCACCCTTTAGATACTTCAGCACCCTCATAACACCATCCCAATGAGCAATTGTTGGATTCTGCATGAATTGACTAAGGACTCCAATACTAAAAGAGATGTCAGGCCTAGTGATGGTAAGATAGATCAACTTGCCTACTAGTCTCCAATACCTTGTACAGTTTTCTAATGGCTCCCCCTGATTATCAATCATCTTCACATTGGGAACCATAGGAGTTTCAACTAGCTTGGATCCCAACAATCCAGTTTCATCCAACATATCCAAAACATACTTTTGTTGGGGCAAAGAGATTCCCCACTTCGATCGAGCTAACTCAATTCCAAGAAAGTACTTCAAGGTTCCTAGATCTTTAATTTGAAAGTGTTGCTGTAGGAACTGTTTCAAATCATCAATTCTATTTCATTGCTAGTGAGAACAATATCATCAACATACACTACTAGAATGACTTTCTCAAATGATGAGTCCCTAGTAAACACAGAGTGATCAACACTGCATTATTTCAAGCCAAAGTCTTGCACTAACCTGGCTACTTGGGAGAAAGAGAGAAGTAGTCGCTCCTATCAAAGCTTCCCAAACTTCTTCAAACCTCAACTGCCCACTTCTGGAGATCAAAAGAAACCCCCCAAGCCCTAAGTGTCACACCCAATCCTTCTCCTTAACCTGTAACTTGAAATCTCTCTAGTCGACTAGGGTTTTAGGCAAAATAACAGCTTCACTTCTTGGTAATCTTCAGCCAGATTCTAACTCTCCAAACCCTCTACCAACTAGGCAAACAGTCCTCTAATAGATTAGAGACTTATCTCTCCATACACTCTTCTAATCCAAGGGTGTATGGGAAAAGAAAGAAAAAAAGAAGGAACTACTCTGATACCAAGATGCAAGTCTGTCTTTCAAATCTGATTATCAAACTCTGGTTACAGCAGTAAAAGAAAAAAGGTGATTACAACAGAAAAGAAGATGAAAGGAGAAGAGAGTTCGATGATCTTATCTCTTCTCTCACTAATCTTTTTATTTAATCTAACTTAACTGAGGTTAATTACATCTCTGCCCTTAAGTGGGCAGCTCGCTCATCAAACACTCAAAAGAAATAAAAAAAAAAAAAATAGAACTTAACAGGCCCATTAACAAATAAAACATAAACAAGACAATATTTAATTACCAACAAAGACTAAGGCCCATTCGGCCTAGTCTCTCTACACAAACCATAGTGAAAACCAGGTGGCTTGGCCTGCCCAGGTGATGATGTCACCATGGACTTGCAATTTGACAGAAAATATGGCTTCTTGATGGAGCACTGAAGGACAGAATTTATACAGCCAACACCAAATAGTTAGGATTAAGACTAAGTGGAGTTGAGACAAAGGAGTTTGTTTTGTTTTATGTGTTTCTTGGTGATATCTTATCACCTTAGGTTGTATCCATTTTTCATTTTCTTTAATAAAATTTTTACTTACTTTCAAAGAAAAAAGTTACACTGAGGCAAGTCACCACATAGGTAACTAGAAGTTAAATGCATTTATGAAGTACCATAAAAATAAAAGTTAAGCTGCTATAATAGTATAAAAAAGAAGGTACCAAAGTCTTCTTTATAAGAATGAAAACAACTATCTTCCAACCAGTCAGACCTAAACTTCTAAGCATCTTCTACAAAAAACAGAAAAAAAGAAAAAGGAAAAGAGACCAACTGTGATAACTTTTGCATGTGAGAACAACCATTTACTTATACTTATTGGGAAAACAATATACCCAAAGCATATTTTCGTTAATGTGACTGGTTTCTTTTGGTATACTATTTTTTCATTAAAAAAGTAGTATACCAAAAAATAGTACACTGAAGAGAGGGCAGAAATTCAGGATAGCGGAATCCTATGATGTTCACAAAAACATACTCTTTTGATACTACTTCTCCATCTATTGAACCGATTTATGGTTTAAGATTATTAAAGCTGCCTTGTAGCCATAGTATGCTAAGACCCTACAGGTATCAGTACGGATTGGAATATGGATGTAGACAAGTTGACCATACATATGGTCTAAAGAACACTTTTAACTCTTCTGTATTGCATTCATCTGAACTCAATTAAGATAGTGTTACAGACTTACAGGCATGGACATAAATCCAATGACTCAATACACCATGGTCCTTCTTTCAATAATATTGAGGTTTTAGAGAACTTCAATTAATGTAGCCAATGACTTTTTATGGCTAAAGGAGCTTAAATGCTGTATAATATTTAAGAGTTCTTATGAGACTAGGATTTCTTTATGGGCTGAAACGTTGGCTTAATTCAAGGTCTGAAATTGATGAAGGTGCAAGGAATGCTAGATGTGGAAGTGGAGGGAGACTGCCAAACTGTAATGTATTGGATGAACACCTGAGAACTAATCCCTTGGGAGTTTAGGTGCCCGGTGAGACAGACTAACTATCTAGGTGCCTCTTTGAACATTTCATTCAACTGGGTTCCTAGAAGTGCATACATGCTAGCAGATTCTTTGGAAAGAGCAGGGGTGTCAAGGGAGCAGCTAGAATAGGGACATCCAGTGATGGGGTGTATTCTATAATAAAATGATTATTTTATACTGTTTTGTTGCTATATTGGGACTTCATTTTGGGAATTATTGTACTACTTGACTTTGATTAGCAGTTGGGTGGTTCTTAATGAAATATTTTAGTTATTCATCGAAAAAAAAGAAAAAAAAAAACTATTGGCCATATGAAAATAGGAAAATTCAAAGAAGGAATTAAGTCTTTACTGAAAGCCCAATAGATGTATGCTTAAGGAGAAGAGATGGAGATTTAATGATTATAACATTTCGTGAATGGGCCATGGATTTTAATTTTAGGAGATTAGTGATCTATGCAAATATAATCTGTTTCTTTTGGAAACCTAATGTGTGTTCACTTTAATTTAACCCCTGGTTGCAATTATTACCCGAACCAACTAACCAGCCCCTTTTTCCAAAAGCTTCAGATCAACACAAGTCTGTTTGCTAATAATCAGGTCATGTGTGTTAAACGGCTGCTCACAATGAATGAAACTAGGCATCCTTATCTGTTTTGGCTGATCAGTTTTAAGATCCAAGCATTGGATGAATGAGCATCACCTCTAAGATTTCCGGTGACAAAATCAAGCCAACCAGATCAATATAATTTAGTTTCAACAATCACATTCTTTAGAGACTATCAGGAAAAAGTGCTAATTTAGATAGCTGGTCGCAATCAGCTAACTAATGAGTTTTCCACAAAGGAATTAATAAGTCCCATGGATAGGATAACCATGTCCTCTAAACATCATCAGAATTCTCAAGGTAAGTAAGCCGTCCAACCGAGGAAGCTATTATTTATGCATCATCAAAACCTCACCCATGCGAAGCATTTCTTTCAATTTTAACAAAGTGTATTTCCGTAGCAATTGATCAAACGGATTAAGATGATAAAATTCATTCGGCCAAAAGAAATCAAGACAAAAGATGATTAATATTTATAGGGTAAAAGAGATGCAACTTAAAACTTTCAAGGCTCCTTGCACTCGATTTTTATATGTCCATCATGCCAAATACTTATGAAAATAAACATAAAATCCCGTATACAAAGCAAAAACCAGAAACAGACCAACCTGAGGACCTTTGGCCGACGATAGGTTGCACAAAAACGCTCCAAGCTTTCCGTTGGTCCTCGAACAGGTAGTAAAGATTCAAGCTTGTGTTTATCAAGAAAGAAAAGGATTCAAGCTTGTCATGCACACGAAGCTAACAACCCAAAACAGCCAAGTCGATCCCCTTATAAGCTCACCCCACTACGGAGAGGTCACACCATTTTAAACTACCCAAAGGGTAAACCGGTAAAACATTACAGACAGCCACCTACCTACCCACCCCGTAGTTCACCTACCCTACATCCCTACCCACCCTGTAGGGGACCGTGAGTCATGACACACTACTCACTCGAGTTCGGCTTCACTCACTTCTTTATGCATTCGAATACCGTTCGAAAATTACAAGAGAACGACACGCGTCCCTAAGCGCATGTGTAAACAGGCGTTTAGCACGAAACATTGTTAGTTATTCCTCCATTTAAAACGATTTTCCCTCTTCCCTTCTCTTTTTTTCCCGTGTCTTTCTACCCAAATTAAATTCACTGAATCCCTGTTCTGCTCTCCTCTCCAATTGGTGAAGACAAAAAACATCACTGGCGATCCTTCTTTCACCGGCGACCGGTGATAGAACGCAGGTAAGCCTTCCTTCTTCTTTACTTTTCAAAACATAGTCTTCTCCCATGAAAAGCCACCTGACCTGACCCTTACTATTGATGGCAGCGATATTCTACTGACGATTAATCCTTGGGCAACTGGCGATAAATCTTGGGTAATATACCTCCTTCCTTTTGCTTCCCCAACAATAAATCTAAGCTACATCACTGTTATTGTGTGCGTGAGGAGGAATGCTTGCGAAAAACATGTCGTTTAGAATATTCTTAATAATTTTACCTATATAACAGCGACATTGCAAATAAATAGGGTGCAGAGCAATAAATGTTGTTTCTTGACGATTGGCAAGATTTTTTCTATCAATAAAAATGTGGTAGATTGTTAACACGTTTAGTAATTCTTGTATTGAGAAACTTACCAACAACCAATATCCATAAGTAAAAAATGAAATAAGTTCAAGTAACATGAATGACCCAATGTGCAAGAACTGTTTCAGTAGGCATCAGACTAACAAATCAACCATTTAAAATTGGCCACACTGTAAAAATTACAAATTAGTTTTTTCCACTAAAGATGGCATCATAACCAGAAAAAATTCGAACCTTTAAACTTCTTCAAAAATCAAGAATAATAGAATAGAATAGAACAAAAGACTATCATGGATTGTAGGAAACTCAAATTCTCCTTGGCAATTCTGCCATCCAATTCCTTCCATTCCATGTGCTCCAAATTGTAGCTTCTAAACAAGACTTCCATGGGATCTATTCAAAACCATATACATGAGTACAGATCTATTCAGTGCAGCCAATAGCTATACGTTAATGGAAACAAAAAGCAGTGTATTGTTTGAATTATACAAAAAGCAGCATATGGATGCAATCACTGCCAGACCACCTGTGTTGGGAGATATTTCCATTTTTCTTTTATTAATAAAATTTTCTATGGTAAAGTAAAATTTATTAAAAGAATAGATGTTTTTCAAACCAAAAACTGCTTATGGCCAAGTTATTTTCCTATCTTTAAGTAATTATGTTAAAATGATGAACAAAAAAAAGAAATCAAGTGAAGCTTAGTCTGTTTTGTGCTATGTTCTTAAATTCCAAATAACCTTAATTCCTTACTCACTTGTGTGGATGCTTATCTTAGTTGGTGTTCTTCAACTCTAACCATTAGACCTACATCTCAGTAGTCCACTTCGGTTATATCAACTTTATGTTTTTTATTAATAAAATGCAAGATTGTGTTATTCCACCTAAAGAAAACAAATTATGCGCCAATTTACATTTTCTTTAGATACTTCTCAATAAAAGGGACTCTCTTATGAGATGTGATAACATTAGCATATAATTAATTAAATTTTGATGTGTGGAACAGGAAATGGATGGTATCCCCTACTCCATGCGGAAACTGGATTTTGACTTGGATGAAGACATAGGTGGACCACCAAACCCTTCACTTAACACCACCTATGATTTAAATGAGGTAACACCTTCTTTTTACATAAATGAACCACCCAAGCCCAATGATGATTTGCTTACATCTAAAGAAAATACAAACATTGATGCAAACATACAAAACAAACTTAAGGAAAAGTTAAGTCTCATTCCTAAAAAGTGGACCCCAAAGATTGGCATGGCATTTCCAACGATGGAGGAAGCATATTTGTTTTATAACACGTATGCTGGAAAGGTAGGATATAGTATTCGGAAAGCAAGTAAGGTAGTGTGTAAACGGTCTAACAAAGTAAGATATGGAAAGTTTTGTTGCTCTAGAGAATGAAAGCGTAAAGCAAATAGATGTTTGAATGCCAAGATTCACCGACCAGAAACAAAATGTGGTTGTATGGCAACTATGACAATAAGTCGTTCGAATGATGGTTATCGTGTCATTGGTTTCAATGAGACTCATAATCATATGATTGTGATCCCTACCAAATCACATATGTTGAGATCACAAAGAATGGTTAGTGACATAAGGTTTTCAAGCTAAAATGGTAGATGATGCGGGAATAGCTCTAAAAGCAGTTTGGAGCTAATGGCAAGGGAAGCCAGTGGTCATGAAAATGTTAGGTTCACTTCTGTAGATTTAAAAAACTATTTGCATTCATACCAAACTAGGAATATGGAGAAGGGGGAGGCATGTGGTATTTTGCAATATTTTGAATACAAGCAATTACAGGATCCATCATTTGTCTATGCAATACAACTTGACCAAGCTAAGCTAGTTACAAATTTGTTTTGGGCAGCTGCACAAATGATAGTGGATTATGCTCATTTTGGTGATATGGTAAGTTTTGACACTACATACAGAACAAACAAGGAGAACAAACCACTTGCAGTTTTCGTGGGAGTGAATAATTATAGGTAGACAATAATTTTTCGTGCTGCATTATTATATGATGAAACTACAGCTTCATTTGAATGGTTGTTTGAGGTGTTTCTCAAAACAATGGGTGGAAAACCACCGCAAACAATTCTCACCGATGATGATGTAGCTATGGCAAAAGCAGTTAGTTTGGTGCTACCTCAATCACATCATCGGTTATGTGTTTGGCACATGTTCTAGAATGCTGCAAAACACCTTAGCGGTGTATTTGAAAAGTTCAAATCATTTTCGCAAGACTTTAGAGGTTGTGTGTATGATTATGATGATGTTGATGAATTTGAAAATGCATGGAAAAACATGATTAATAAATACACACTTCAAGAGAATGAATGGTTGCAAAGATTGTATAGTAAAAGATACAAATGGGCATTAGTATTTGGGCGTCAAACATTTTCTACCGACATGAGCACAACACAGAGGAGCGAGAGTCTGAATAGCTGTATTAAAAAATGTCAATATTAAGTATGACCTATCAAGGTTCCTTCGACACTTCGAGAGGGTAGTTTCTGATAGGAGATATGAAGAGTTGAAAGCCGAATTTGCAGCAACACAAAGCATTCCATTCATCGCAACAAATATGGCAATTTTAGATTTTGCTTCTCGTGTGTATACCCCACCAATTTTTTCCATGTTCCAATATGAGGTATTGCAACAATTAAATTATAAGATTGAAGAAGATTGTGTTGTGTTTGAAATAACAACTAAATATACAGTTGGCTTGTATGGTGTGAATCGTCGATACAAGGTGACTTTTGATTCAAGTAACAATTCAGTCAATTGCAGCTATAAGAACTTCAAGTTTGTTGGATTCTTGTGCAAACATGCTTTGAAAATACTTGATTATAGACGGGTGAAAGTCTTGCCCTCGTGCCATGTTTTGAGAAGGTGAACTATTAATGCAAAAAAAAACCAAGAGTGAAGCATCACATGGGCATTTGGATGAAGCTACAAGAATGGCAACATAGAAGAAAGAGCTATTTCATTTGTTCACACAAATAGTTAATCAAGCTGCACCTAATCATGATGCTTACAAGATGGCTATGCAAGTAGGAGAAAAGCTCTTGGAAGATGTGTCAAGGTGTATAAAGCAAACAACTACTGGTCAATTATCTGTAGCATTTGATGACATCAAAGTTGAAGGTTCTTCTTACATAGATCTTGATGGCACACAAGTTAAAACTAATGACACACAAATTTCAACTTATGGCACACAAGTTGTAAAGGATATCAATTGCAACACAAATTCTAGTTCGGTGGGATATGGGCTTCAAAGGCATGTGAAAGGATTTAAGCACAAGGCTTCCAAGGTGCACTCTTCAAAAAGGCCAAAAAATGCCTTAGAGAAAGCGATAACCAAGAGAAAGAGACCAAAGAAGGGCCAATCTATTGAGAAATGCACTACATAGGTATTTGAATCATATGGCCAATAAGAATATGACAAAAGAACAAGAATATAATCACTCTATAACATCCACACAGGTATCAAAGTTTAATTAGGTTAGGCATTAAAGTTCAATATATCATGCATTGAAACCCTTCTAAGACTCTTATAATATAGGTCTAAAGGTTTTGGGAGTCTATTGCAAGTAGAGCTTAATCACATAATGCAATTCCAAACCGAGTTCATGTAAATTAGTTTCTTCATTTATGGTTTTAATACCATCCCTCAAAATGAAAATGTCTCTTCTAATATGTGGTACCTTCTAATATGTGTTTATAGGATTGGCAGCAGAATGTTAACACCATGCTTTCACCACTCCATTGGCTCATGTATAATCATCTTGCCTCATTTGTTAATAATGTTCACATACAAGAAGTGCTGGGAAGTGTGTTTACTAAAACAGAACCCACTAGACCTCAACCAAGTCAGGTGATAAAAGTATTCTTCAAAACTATATATATTCCAATCACTTTTTCTTATAAATTTATGCAACACTAATACACTATAATGTGCTCATGTAGGAAACATCATGGATTGGACCTTTTGAAAACCAACAACTAAATAGAGGAGGGATGTCTTAGGCTAGCATGTTGATTATCATTTATTGAAAAGAAATTTTTGTAAACTATAACAGGCACCATCTCCCCACAGCAATAGATCAAAATCTTTGTGGCCTAAATCAGGAAAATTTTCAATTGAGGTTACTGGACCCATTGATTCTAAACCATGATGTCGGACCCACTAATTCTAATTGAGGTTAAAATTTTGACTTGATGAAGTGCAACCATACCTCTTCTTTTATATGCCCTAAATCAGTGAGAATAAGAGTACAATATCTTGGCAGATTTACTTGCATGAGTGAAGAATAAAATGCTCTTTTTTAAAACATCAATTATTTAACCACGATGGCTTGTTCCAAGGGTTGAAGTTGAACACGCCATATTAGGCTTGATATGCTCAATCTTCATGTCGACATGATTTATTATGATTTATCCCATGTCAATTATTTAATCATGATGGCACGTTCCAAGGACTAAAGCTGAACACGCCATATCAGGCTTGATTGCTCAATCTGAAATGAATGAATAAATAATGCCTATTTATATTACAATTTTGAATATTCCTTATATAAACAATATTAGCATGCTTCTGTTGATACCTTAAATAAATTTAATTAACCATCAATAACCCATTTTGTTATCATTACTCCTTTAATCTAAAACACCAATCCCGTGATATACAACCATTTGAAAGTGCTTTTGTGTTTTCTTCTACACTGACAACCCGATATACAACCATGTTGTTAATATGTGTTGATTCAATTGGAGCCTACTAGGTTTACTACCAACTCAGCTTCCAACATGATTGAATACATATAAATGGTTCAGTATATATCAAACTAAAAGCTTAAATACATATAAATGGTTGAATGCCATCTGAGTCCAATGCTCATCCCTAACATAAATACGCATAGTTCCTAATCATAAATACTAGAGTCTTGGTCAAAATACATTTCTACTGCAACCATAGTTCCCAACTGCTATTTGTTGAACATATACACCACAAGAAACCCAATTATAAAAATAATGAGCAAAACTCGTGTCCTCTTCAATTCTTTAGAAAGTAGCTGCTGATGATCCTTCGATGACTCCATTGATTGCACACACCTATTCAATTCAAATAATAACCTATCGATCTCTTCAGCGTGAGTTACTGCATGTCCTACATTCATTGATGATGTAGCTTCATCGGAAGTGGTTGTAGGAAATGCCCATTCAAAATAATTGCAAAATGCCACATTGACTTTCTTTTCCTAAATACATGTAAAGTCAAGTCAATGCATCTAACAATCTCAAAATGTTATTACAAACACATAAAATACACAATTATAATAGTACTTACCATGATTCCGGGACAACTATAAAAAAACCTTTGTGGGTTCAAATTTGTCTCCGACACGCGGATTACACATTTCTTTCCACAATAACAAATTCTTGATGGATACTTCAATTTCTTATAATATGTGCTCTAAGATGTCGATTGAGAACTCATCTCTGCACTAGTGTCGAAACCCATATTAGGTTTAAGGATCATGAATTGTGGATCAAGACTGGACCATAGCAAAACCAAGTCCACATCACAGGTTGTTATATACAGTTACTCAAAACATGAAAAAATCAAGTTGAATATGTTAATACTTTTAATTTCTCATTTCCAAGTGTCTTTTTCATCTAAATGACCATAACATGCAACTGGTACTTGGAATGTCCAAGCATCCATGGTCTCATCTTTGAATTAGGGTTTACTAGAAATTGTTTACTTTACTAATCTACATCCATTGTAGATGTAAAAACTGGTCTCCTAGATCTATCTATCAATTTTTTCCTTCATTTTATTTGTTGATCAACATATAAAACTAATAAATAGATTATAGGTAAAGAAATAACAAAAAACTAAAATGGAATCACTTTGATGTTTAACAAGATAAGCAACCAGAACTCTTAGCAAGAAATTTGTAGTTCTGTGGAGAAATTGAAACCAAGAGGATTTTCTTTGGTTTCTTATTTTTCTGGTTTCAGGAATTCAGCAGTCTGAAGTCTAGTCTAATAACATGAACTTCTTTTCAAATTGGGAGTGTTAATGATGGGTGATTAGCACTTACTGCACTCAAATCTTATGTTATGTATGGTTGAATGAGATTGACCACAGAAGTTACAACCACTTGGGGTTGGGTCAAGAGCCCCTTTGAGCAGAATAACTACTAAAAGCTTCTATTTAATACAAAGCATTCAAGCTAGTTTTGACAGAAGCGTCTTAAGTATACCAATTGCAATTTTATGATATGCTGAATTCCATGTACAGGTTTCAGAAGGGTGATCTTTACTTGTCATTTTCTATCATACACGCCATGCACAACTCTGTCTTGTGAGTAGTGGGATAAAAATCAGATGTGGCTAGAAAATGATAATCCCTCTTAGATGGACTGGGTTCTAAATATGATAATCAGAAGATGTTGCTTTTGTTGTTCCAAACCAGCATGCATGAATCAGAAATCTCGCATACAACAACTATGAGATCTAACTTCCCTCACACACACAATAAATCGAACACATGGTAGGGCTAAGAGAGCCTTTTTCCTCAATGGCAATACAGCACACAATAGAGTCACGTGCACAATAACAATGAGGTAGCTAGATTTATTGTTAGGGAAGCAAAAGGAAGGAGGTATTACCCAAGATTTATCGTCGGTCGCCCAAGGATCAGTCGCAGATGAAGCCATTCATCACCGGTGGAATATTGCTGCCATCAACACTAAGGGTTAAGCAGCTTTTCATGGGAGAAGACTATGTTTTGAGAAGTAAAGAAGAAGGAAGGTTTACCTACGTTCTGCCGCCGGTCGCCAGTGGAGGAAGGACCGCCGATGATGTCTTTTGTCTTCACTAGTTGGAGAGGAGAGCAGAACATGGGTTCAGTAAACTCGATTTGGGTAGAGAGATGTAGGAAAGAAGGGAAGGTAAAAGGGAACATCATTTTGAATGGAGGGATAGCTAACAGAGTTTGTGCTAAATGTCCATTTACCATCCTCGCACGAGTATAGCATGCACATGCGCTTAGGGATGCGTTGTTCTCTCGTAATGTTCGAACGGTGTTCGAACACAAAAAGCAGTGACTGAAGCCAAACTACACTTACTCAGCCCCTCTTCGATTTCCAATGCACTCTCTATAGAGCGCGCCCCACACTCCATCCCCTGTGCATTGGAACATCACCGTTGGGGCATGGGCTATGGGGCGTGAAATCTGATTTGGTACTGACAAAATTGTCCACACACCATTTGCATGTTTCTAATTTTTATTCATTTTGAGATATTTTTAGGGATAATTTTACCGCACTCCATCTCAGAATTCTGAATTCAACTATAGACCTACAACAATTCAAAATTATAAATATCACCCATGAATTGGCATCAATTCCGAGCTGGCACCTACCCCAACTATACCGTGGAGCTAAGATTTCTGGGAGGAGTCCAGATCTACTCGCAGCCTAGCGCCTCAAAACATCCTCACAAAATGTGAGGATGCCACATGACCCCAAGCCCATGTGAACTCTATACACGAGCGGAGGAGCCTAACAGTCGTTACTCGTCAGGCCTCCATTTTCTTTAAACCCCTCCCCCCACCCCCAAGCCTTATTCGGCACTTTCTAATTTTCTATTCTATTCCCGCTCAAAGCCCCTGCCTCTCCTCTTTTCTCTTCGGCAACGAAAGAATGAAAACCCTAGCACCCTCCACCGGTTGCAGTGCTCTCCTCGGTAGCCAATGATCTCATTGACCAGAATAGATTTCGACGATAGTACGAGGACTTCCTCCATTGGGTTTTTTTTTTCACATGCAAGCTACGACACCGATGACCATTCCTTCCTCCACTCCCAATCTTTCCAAGCTTCTAGTAGAGATTCCCATTAGTTTTTAAGAATAAGTCAAGATCATAAGTTCTTTTTACGAGTGCTAGATGTCCCCTTAGCACTTACAACCTTCTATGATTTTTCTAATTTAGAGGACTCTTATTTCATATTTGAAGATGAGTTTTTGGTTGATGGATCATGTGATCGTATATCAGAAACTTGATCTGAAGACTTTAGCTATTTTATCATCCATATGGGAAGGTTCTTTTGCATGGTCAACATCCCAAATTCTGAAGGGATGAGAGATCCATCATATGGATGGCCGAACCCTGCAGGAAGGTTGGGAAAATTTTCAAAAATTTCTCTCTTTTCCATGTGGGAATCGCATTCCCTATTTTAGAAAACTGCATTTTCAAGGATCAATCTTGAAACCAAACCGGACCAGATCTGAAACCAAAAGGGAGGAGAGGGATATACCTGATACGGAGTAATGGTAAACCCCCAATGAAGGTGTTCACGCCCAAGGATAAATTCAAAGACTAATTCCACTGAATATGACACGGTGCAGGATGAAGCAGAATCAGTAGGACGGTTCTTCAGCAAGAATGTAATGGAGGGCTGGTGAGTACGACTTCAGATTACCTTTTCTGCCAAAAGGTAATATCAATAACCTTTCTTGATCACTCCCATAGGTGGAGATCGAACTGGGTGGGGTGGAAAGAGCAGAAGATAGGAGCAGTTAAACTACAGACTCTTCTCTCTATCAAATATGCAAGCTGATAATTTTGTAATTGGAGGTTCACCCTGCTCTTCTATTTATAGCCTTTAAAGAGAGCATCTCCTAATCCCATTAGGAGTTTCCTAATCCAAATCTTGTATTTGGAGATGAACTCTCTTTAAGAGATAAGGATAATCTCTTATCTTATCTACAGATAAAGATTAGCCTTCCTAATCAAATTAGGAGTTTCCTGATCCAAATCTTTATTTGGATCTGGACTCTCTGAGTGGATAAGGATAATCCCTTATCCTATCTACTGATCTAAATCCCAGAACCACCCCTATTTAATTAATCTTATTAAGCCAGTTCGAATTGGGCTTTAGGCCCATTAAGTCTATGTGCTCACTTAACCTCCAAACTACTGCCCAGTTGGCTATCCTTCTATGGCGTGGGACCCAAACATTGATCTACACATCAGCCACAGTGTTGATCTAAATTCCAGAACCACCCCTATTTAATTAATCTTATTAAGCCAGTTCGAATTGGGCTTTAGGCCCATTAAGTTTATGTGCTCACTTAACCTCCAAATTGTTGCCCAGTTGGCTATCCTTGTATGGCGTGGGACCCAAATTCAGCCTAGCCTCTATTACAAGGCCTGGCCGAATTCACTGTTAGAAACAGTGAACCCCTGAGTCCATCACCATGGGCTCTTAATGGGCCCAACATTTACACTAAATGGTCCTTGGGTCAAGCCACCTTATAAAAACCCAAGGACTGTGGGCAGATGCAAGATTATCCCATCAGGTATTTCCTTCAATGGTTTTACACTTAACCTCTTAGCCCATAATGATCAAACACTGCCTGATAAGAGAGGACCTCTCCATTGGCTGCAAGGAACAGTGTTGCACTCTCTACTCACAAAGATCCTAGGAATTAAAACCTTTTGCAAACATTTTGAAACCTACAAACAAATTTCAACGGTTGAAATCAACTACCGACCGTTTAGGTTTCCATCAGAGAGAGTGCATCCCCGATCATTACCTTTGTCCGACAAAAGGGGTTGATCCTGTCACTATGATCACCCACTCAGATGAATTCTCAGACTGTCCCAACATACCCAGGTTTTGACCCCCTCTAAGGATCTCACTGATTGGCATATCATAGACAACCCAATCCGACACTAGGTGTATTATCATAATCGAGTCTAGGGTTTAGGTGTAATATTCCAGTTTTGCCCATCTATCTCCAAGGTTCAGAGCAATATTGGAATTTTTGTCCAGTTCAGGGTTTCAAGAAAGCCCACAATGCATGTACCTCAGGTCTCACCCTGACAGTTAAGACAAGCCACCCCAACCAACTTGGCGGCACATCAGTGTTAGCCTTGGTAGGATAAATCTCCCCAGATCTATCCAACAGTGTGAAGATTCTAAACTAACACTAGTCTTATATGTGTCAAGTTTAATGATATTACATAGAAACACACCATAATAACATGAATCAAATATGTACTTTATTCTTTTATAATAAATGTCATAATGTACATGATTCTGATTGGAGCTAAGGGCATACACTGTCTAACAGCTCCCACTTGCATTAGGTCCAATCGGGTATAAGCTGGAGTCCCATACTTTCCACGTGTTTCTCAAACACTTTTTGTGTCAGTGGCTTAGTCAATGGGCCTGCTACATTTTCCGCTGATGTTACCTTCTGAATCAGGATGTCCCCTCCGCTGATGCTACTTTCCACATGGTACTTCCTCTCGATGTGCTTCGACTTCGAGTGGGCTCAGGGCTCCTTAGCCTGAGCAATGGCTCCAGTGTTGTCACACAACAGTGGAATGGGTGATGTGCTAGATGAAACTACTCCCAATTCCCGAATGAACTTCTTCATCCATATGACTTCTTTGGTAGCTTCACTTGCGGCAGTGTATTTGGGTTCGGTTATGGAATCCGCCGTGGACCCCTGTTTGGTGCTTTTCCAACAAACGCACATGATCCTATTGTGAAAACATAACCGGATGTAGACTTTCTATCATCAGGATCTGACTGGAAATCGGAATCAGTATACCCCTGGATCTGTAGTGAACTACCATTGAATACCAGACAAAACTCTTTTGTCCTTCGAAGGTATTTTGGTATGTTTTTCACAGCAGTCTAATGTTCCTGCCCTGTGTTTGATTGGAATCTGCTTACACACTCACTGCCTGAGAGATGTCAGGACAAGTGCACAGCATGGCATACATGATGCTCCCTATGGCTAAGGCATAGGGAATGACTTTCATGCCCTCAATCTCTTCGGGAGTCTTGGGAGACATACCCTTGGAGAGAGTGACTCCATGCCTGAAAGGAACATTTCCTTTCTTAGAGTTCTCCATGTTGTATCTTTTGACTATTTTGTCAATGTAATCAGATTGGGATAATCCTATTATCCTCTTTGATCTATCTCTATAGAGTCGAAGACCCAATATATAGGAGGCTTCTCCAAGATCTTTAATGGAGAATTGTTGTGAAAGTCACACTTTCACCATAGTTAACATTCTTACATAATTCCCAATGAGTAGAATGCCATCTACATACAGAACCAAGAACGTAACCTTATCACCATTGGTTTTCTTGTAAACATAGGGCTCATTCGGATTTTGCTCAAAGTCAAACCTTTTGACGGTAGAGTCAAACCAAATGTTCCAACTTGTAGAAGCTTGCTTAAGTTCATATATGGATCGATTAAGTTTACATACCATGTGTTCCTGATCAACAGTTATGAAACCTTGTGGTTGTTACATATAGATATTTTCAGTAAGATCTCATTAAGGAATGCAGTTTTGACATCCATTTGCCAAATCTTGTGGTCATAGTATGCTGCTACAACTAGCAGGATCCTAATGGATTTAAGCATGGCCACAAGCGAAAAGGTTTCCTCATAATCGATTCCTTCTTTCTGAGTGTACCCTTTCGCCACAAGACGAGCCTTGTAGGTCTCAACCTTACCATCGGGGCCCTTTTTCCTCTTGTAGATCCATTTGCAACCAATTGCCTTTACCCCAGAGGGCGGATCTACTAGAGTCCAGACTCCATTGGTCTCCATTGAGTCCATCTTAGCTCTCATGGCATCTACCCACTTCAAGGAATCTATGTCCAACCTAGCTTCCGTATAAGTTACGGAATCCTCCTCACTAATCAGGCCTTCCACCAAGTAACTTTCTTGGTCATAGCCGAAACGAACTGGAGGCCTGGAAACCCAGGTAGATCTCCTAGGTTGGTTATTTTCTGGAGCTGGTGGGGCATCTCCCACTACCTCTGGGCTCTCTTCATCAATAACAACTTCCTGATGATGATTATCCAGGATGTAATCTTCTTCTAAGAAGTGGGCATTTCGGATGCAAAACACCTTTTGTTCTTTTGGATCATAGAATAAGTAACCCACAGAGCCTTTGGGGTAGCCTATAAATAAGCAACGA